TTAGATTTGGCTTAGACGTCTATTTATGTTCCCTGTTTTAGAAAGAATTTGATTTCGGTTTCTAAGTTGTTTATGAACGGTTTTTCCTTGATAATAAAGTTGTTATTCGTTTTGGCAAAAAGTTCATATGCTCTGGTTCATTGGTTGACAATCTGTACATTCTAGAATCTAAGTCATCTCCACTGCAACAGAAACAATTACTTAATTCATCATCTAATCTGAATAAGAGAAAGGAACCCTCTAAAATGAACGAAACATATCTTTGGCATCTAAGACTTGGTCATATTAACCTTAGGAGGATTCAAAAGTTGGTAGCAGACGGGCCTTTGGGGTCGTTAGAAGTCGAGGCTTTTCCAACTTGTGAGTCTTGCTTGGAAGGTAAAATGACTAAGAGGACTTTTAGTTTAAAGGGGCATAGAGCCGAAGATGTGTTAGGGCTAGTTCATTCCGATCTATGTGGTCCTATGAGTATTCAAGCGAGAGGTGGTTTCGAGTACTTCGTTACGTTTATCGATGATTACTCGAGATATGGGTACATTTTCCTTCTGCACCGCAAGTCTGAATGCTTTGAGAAGTTCTTGGAGTATAAGGCAGTTGTGGAGAAGCAGTTAGGAAAAAGTATCAAGTCACTACGATCCGATCGTGGTGGCGAATATCTCTCGAATGAATTTAGGAACTACTTGACGGACAATGGGATTACGTCCCAGCTGACTGCGCCTGGCACGCCTCAGCAGAATGGCGTAGCAGAACAGAGGAACATGACTCTCATGGAAATGGTTAGGGCAATGATGAGTTATTGTAACACCCCACTTTGATTTTACAAAAATTCCGGACTTTCTAAAAATCAGAATTAATTTTTCGAGATCATTTTCGAAATTCAATGGGTGTTAAACAACATTTTCATAACCCAAGTCTTATCTGGGCCCACGAGGATTCATTACCCGGTTTTCACAAATAGTTTTCATTAACCATAACATATCATACGAGACTTAATACTCAACATGAATAATCAAACCACATCATCATATCCAATAATCAAGGGTTCCACAAATTTCCCAAAAACAAACATGTCATGAGTTTTGGAAAAAGTTTCAAACGAGTCTCCACATAAAGGTCCATAAAAAGCCTTATTTATTCTACGGAAGCATAAAATGAAATGACCGACCCACTCGCCTCTTCTCGTCACCCAGCTCCTGCTTAACCTGCATCGGTGAAGAGCAGGTGGGGATGAGCACAAGATGAAAAGCGTGCTCACCACTATGCACATATATCACAACATAATTAATGAAGAGAAGGTATGGTTAGAGTATGAACATAAAACAATTACTCTGTCACGTCTCCTAATCACATCACAACATAATACCCACGTGTACACATCTTTCATTAGCCAAGGAAAGGGGATTCATTACCCTAACTCATGGGGGTATGTGCCATACGACAAGGCACGGCCTTTCATTAGGTCTTACGGAGACTTACCTCGCAGGTAACCGTATTACATCGACGGGGACAACTGTACCGACGGCCGTGACAACTCACATCGATAGGCTACATGGTTTACGTACATACTAAAATCATACCAATTCAACATTATAATAAACACGTATGGCATAGCAATTTTTAGATTAAAACCCACCTGAATAGCTCGGTAGTAGATCGCACACAAGAACAAGTATGTAGGATGAGGCTCGGCTCCTCAATCACCTACATTTAAGTGAGATATTTTATTAATAATTTATCTCACTACTCAAATTTAACATAAAACCCGTACTTAATAAAAATTAAGTCTTAAGGGTTTTAATCGGATTTTTCGTGGACTTGGAACTCTCTCATTTTGAAAAATAAGGCTCGGAGGATAAAATTTGGAGTCTCGGGACTTAAAATAATTTTTTTATAAATTTTTCTCATTTGAAAATAATTTTTAAAATTGAAATCGGTACGAAAAACGGGCTCCGGAACACAAAATAGGCTTAAAAACTGAACTGGGCCGAAGCTGAAATTTCAGCCCTACAATTTGGGCCTGCACATGTGAAATAGGCCGCAGCTAAGGACAAAATGGGCTGAAATTTAACAACATAAATGGGCTGAAATCAGGCTGGGAACGCGGGCTGAGGACAGGCTTCGCGGGCCGCAACTGGAGACTGGAATCGGGCCGCGCGCGGGCTGGAATCGGGCCTGGCGGCCCGCACGTTTGGGCTGCCTACAATAAATAAAAAAAATGGTTCCAACGCAAGGCTGGGGTTCGAACTCATGACCGCGCGCACAAACAAGCACAATACTTGCGCCACTCATCAGTCGTTAATTATTATGCAACAAAATATACGAATTTATCAAAACTGAGGCCTGCGAAGTTTAACAGAAACTGGGACAACTGCGAGTAAACTGAGAAAGCCAAAACAACATAGGGGCTGAAAATCGACGACCAAATATGACGACAACATATCTAATGGCAACGAGATTCAAGAGATTATCAACAATCACATATTTTTAGAGTTCCGATATATATTTTTACAACGGTTTTGGCTCGAAAACGGAACAACCAAACATAAAAGCATAATGAACGACCGGATTTTGAACGACCCGAACAACCTAACGACGGATCGAAATAACGAAACGAGACTCACATTTAACACAGAAACACGAGACTCGATTAATACGATAAACGAGAGTTCCGATAATCCACGAAAATTCACGAATATACGAATTATACGTACGAACATACGAATCAACAAACAAAGTTCCGATTTCAAATAAAGTTTTGGTAAACCGAACACGTCATATATATAACGTGTAATATATGAAAACGACCGCAATAACGAGAGGATTCGAATATGTTACCCGACTTCGGGAAACTATAAGTAATCGGACAGGAAACGGGCTCGACAGCGGGTCGGATGATCGGCTTTGAAAACTTGAACTCCTTGAATTCGGTGCTGACCGCGAACGACTGTCACATACAGAGGTTCCTCACGACGTACGGTGGGGCTGTTCGAAGGTAGGCTCACTGGAGAAGTGGTCGCCGGAATCAATGGAGAACAGGTCTTCGGTTCGGGGCTGAGGGACGTCGACTCGCGTACGCTCACGGGATGCTGCTCCTGGTCATGAATGGCGTATGTTGGTCGCGAAAGAGAAGGCCCACTAAGACTACTTTTCACGTCGGAGCTGGCGCAAGGGAGCTCGCCGGAAATAATGGTGGACGCCGGTTGTTGGCTCGAGTGGACGAACTGGAAGCTGCTGGCTCAACTGGATACAGCGTGATGGTCATCGGAAGTTGGCGGGTCTCGGAGAACGACCGAGATGCCGGGAAGGGTGACGGCTGGACTGAAATCAGGCGACGAATTTTTTTTTTTTTTTTTTTTT